AAAAAAAAAAAAAAAAAAAAAAAAAAAAACAACCCAAAAGTCTAGAGCACTTTTGGTTCTGAGAACAAATCCTCATGTCACCTATACAGAATCTTTTTGACTCTGTCAAGCTCCTTTCCCCATTTATACATTAAATGTTCCATATCTGCCAGATTTGGGACAACAAAAATTTAAGGCAGAGAAATTGAATATACTGGTTATGACTAAATTCTTCCAGCAAATCACATTCATCTTTTTTTTTTGTCTTTTTGAGACAGGGTCTCACTATGCAATTCAGGCTGACCTTGAGCTCACTTTGTAGCCCAGGCTGGCCTTGAACTCCTGCCTCATCCTCCTGAGTGCTGGGATTACAGGCATGCACCACCACGCCCGGCTACATTCATCTTTCTAACACTGTCTCACCTGGGGTTTTTTTGCTGCTGCAGACCCAGTTTTCTTCTCTGTATTGAGACTCAGTACTTGACAGTAAGTCAGATACAAGAACCCTTGTAATTTTTGGTTTTGGTGGTGGAGATCAAACCCAGGCTCTGAGTATACTAATAAGGATATGCTCTGCCCTTGAGCCTCACCTCTACTCCCTTGTAAGCTGTTTAAAGTCTATGTGGCATTTTCCCATAAACAAAATAGAAGAGTGATGAGATAAGAACTTTAGTCTGTTAAGGAAAATATGTGCACTTTTCTAGATTTACAAAAAGCAGGCAGAGGACTCATACTTCTGTTGTTATATTGGGGAGGGGTATTGAACATGCCCGCTCCAGGGCTGCACAGTTTTAAGATGGCAAACTTACTCTTACATCGTAACTGGAAGACTTGACTTTACATACTACCAAAAGTTCTGTGTTAGTAAGGCCACTCTGCCAGGCGAAATCAGAGCAATCCCTAGAAAAGAAAAAAGACTGAAAATAATCATTTGTAGACATTTAAAAATATTTGGGGTAAAATAAATAAAAATATTTCCCGATTGTGTAGAAACACTTTCTATCCAAGCCTCAGAATATATGCTCTTACCCCAGCAGTCTGCTTCCCTTTGTCCAGTTACAGCCATGCACTGTTGGCGCTGGTCTAAATAGGAAGATCTCATATGCTTTACATTAACTTCTTTAAAAATTTAACTTGCTACTTCATATGGGAACAAGTATGTTGACAAGAATGAGGAAACTGTGTGGCCCACGCATGAATTTAGGCTTGAGTGCAGCTTTCTAATTTCTGATCCATGCTTTTTCCTCACGATCATGTTATTTCATCAAAAAGCTTCACCCTTTGGGCTTTTCCGGGGTTCATAATGGCACAAAATTTAGGTCTTGCCCCCTACTTAGAGGGATGGAATTAACTTTTGAAAGGGGTGATGTCTGATGCAGGCAGCAGAAAGAGAACAGAGAGAAGAGATCACTGGATGACTTAATCTAGTTCCTCCCTTTCCCCTGCAGAACAGAGCAGAGATCAGAGGCCAGGCACTTTCTCTTTCACTGCACTGGGAAGAGACAGTTGTCAGAAGCTGCATGAGGTATGGGTTTTGTTTTACAAATCTGATCTTTTAATCAAGAGCCTCTTACTCTTTGGAAACACACTGTTCCCTGGGGCCACAACCCTTTTCTCCTTTCAAAACCTTGAGTTCAAATTCTCTAAGTCAAAAGTAAAGGTTTTATATGCCGGGACCAGCATCTACCTGGTAACCACTGGAAGACAGCACCAGGCAGACAGGCCATGCTACATTACATCCTGTCTGTCCTTATTTAAGAGAAAGTTCTTACCTTTACGAACAAACTCCAATAAAAGGAAAATTTGCTCTTTTATAGATGTTATTGATTTGAATAATGAAAAAAGATAAATTTTTCTTCAGTGCTTAAGGTGGTCCTGGTACCAGCCTTTGGTTTAAATTAGGCAACATCTTAGTCCCTGTGGGCAAATGTGGAATAAATCCAGTGGGCTTCACCCTCCTTGCCCACCAGTTAGGACTGAGGAATTCAGCAGGAAGGAGTCCAGTTCTGGTCAAATTATGCAACACCATGCAGCACTTTTAACTAGAGACCCACCACGAACACCCCAAAGTTGTATTTATACCTCCCTGCAGTACTGACATGAAGCCTACTGTCTGAGAAGACTTAGAAAAAAGGCCCATGATGTTCTTTCTTGACTACTACCCAGTGTTCCTCGTAAGGGTTATTACTGCTAGATAAAAGGGTCACACAAAATTTATATTTTTCTTCACTGTGTAAGATTTAGCAAATACCTGTATTTTTGTTTGTTTGTTTTCTAAAAATTGCCTTGAATTATCTTTTAACTGTTGGGTCACTCACAAAATGTATAGCAACTTTCTTTAGGGATTCTATTTTTTTTTTTTTTTTTTTGGTTTTTCTCAGGTACTGGGAGCCGAACTCACAACCTTGCGCTTGTCAGGCAGGCGCTTTGCCGCTGAGCTAAATCCCCAGCCCCGGGATTCTATTTCTTAAAGGCATTAAGATGGCAAACTTTTTCTATTCCTATCCCAAAGGTTTGGTGGGGGTCAGTCCTTCCTAGACACATAATCTTAACTTTCAAATATCGATTTACCAATCCTTAGTCAAACTCATATTTAGCCTTTAACATAAACACGAAACAAAGAATGTTTCAGATAACGGATGTATAATTCATCCCTGAATCCACCTTTATCCTCTTTGCAAGTTGTGTGCATGGCACAAGCCTATCCACATTGTGGTTACCCAACTCCCACGTACTTTGAGGGTCATCTCAGGGGTCCAATTAGTATCTGAACCTTCTCTGAGCAGAAAGAGCTGGAGTTTAGAAGTGAAACTGATTCGGATCCTGGCTCCTTCCCTTGCTGCTTAGGTAATTTAAGGCAGGTATTGTGCCTTATCTGGAAAACAGGGAGACCTATTTCAGCAGGTAACTTTGAAAATTAAAATTCACAAATACTTATGCAAAACCCACATTTGTTCTCAACATACTATTTTCTTTCCATCCAGAAAGGCTGAGAGAGCCAGGGATATAGTTCAGCAGCGCAAGCGCCTGCCTGGCAAATGCAAGGTCGTGAGTTCGATTCCCAGTACCAAAAAAAAAAAAAAAAAAAAACCAAAAAGGCTGAGAGAAGCAGTTGACCTCTACTGCCCATAGCAAGTGGTTTATTCATCTTTTCCAGAGATGCTCCAGATAAATTAAGTATGCTTAGTTCAGGACAAGGACACTAGACTCACTATCTTAACTTTCAAATACTGATTTACCAATTTGTAGTCAAAATCATATTTAGCCTTTCATATAAATATGAAACAAAGAATGTTTCAGGTAATGGGTGTATAATTCTTATTGTATATTATAATGGAGAATGTGAGCAGGGGGTACTCACGTTTTTATGGGTTAAATCTGTACAGGTAGGCAGTCTCTGGGAAGAAAAACATTAGGAACCGATAGCATGTGTAACCTTTCTGAGTGATATCAAATTAGAAGCTGACCCTAATTTAAAGTCCCTACTTATACTAGGGTTCACACATTTTTTTTTTCCTTTAGGCAATAAGCATGTAACCAAAGATGGAAGAGAGCGATCCACACCTTCCCCAAAGAAAAGGAAGATGGATCTAGTGTCAGACTCAATTAGACCCAATTGTGGTGGCTCTCCAAAAAGGGACAATGCAGCCTTTGTGATATGCTCAAACTGAAAACTTGGAAATTTTACAAAACAATCTCACCCCAAGAGAAACCTGCATTCTAATCCTCTTCCTGGAAAGAGAGATTGATCCAGATAAGTTTTACATTACTTTATCAGCTCTTGCAGAGATCAGTATTTTTTTGGTTAAAAAGGGAAAAAAAAAAAAAACATGACCTCAAAAACAAGGAAGACAGAACTATGTGCAACCAAGAATATGAATTGCTCCCCTGTTACAGCGTTTATACTCTGAGGTTTCCACCACCATGGGGTGTCAGATTATTCAGTTATTGTCTACCAAAGGGAACTCTGCTAGAATCATAGGTTTTATCTTCCCTGGATTCAGTCTAAGAACTCTCAACAGACTGGCTGGAGTGGCCAGCCTCTTTGGAAGTGCTTAAAATGCAAATGTACAAGAACTGGCCAACCTCCCCAGCCCCCAGGAAAGTGCTTCAATACAGCCAGGACTGGAGGGGAATTTTAAAAAGAGGGGTAGAACTGCTGCATTTCCACTGGGACCCCCTCTCATACTGTGAGATTCAGTATGCATGACTGAGTGAGCCAGCTAGCAAGGACAGCACTCTTTAACTTTCCTGAACAATGACTTCAGTTCCTTCCACCCTTCACCTCCTTCCCACCCTCCTCGAAGGGTAAAGACACCGATCCCTCTCACCCACTTCTGTATCTCATGACCCATTTTTCTCAGTATTACCCCTAGATCTCATTTCCACCCAAAGAAAAACTGGCCACTCGGGGGAAATTGTGACTCTTACAAGTCTGGTTTTGAAAAAAACAGTTTCATTTTGTTCAGTTTCTTTAAATTTCCATGTTGACAGTTTAAAACCAAAAATTGTATCAATCTCCAGTCTAGTCACATTGCTAGAAACAGAACATTAGGGTGTCAGTAGTCAACCTTACACAGAAGAAATACTTAACTATGAGCTTACACCACATGGGATGCACCGAACTCTATACCCCATTTCCTTTACTGTAGAGTGTACAGACAGCACTCCTACTTTGGCAAGGACCCAAACACAGAGTGCCTTAAAAATAATTCACAGATACAAGGTTTTTGTGCTTTTTTTTTTCAAAAACATACTTCATATTTCCTCTTTTATTATATAAATATCAGTTTAACCTTTTACTGTAAGAATATAAACGTTTTAAGAGGATCTTTGTTATTATTTATACAAATTCACAAACAGTACAATTAATTGATAAAGGTCTCTGGGTTTAACTCCATGGTCTCGCATGTAGCTGTGGAGGATTCTAAAAAAATAAACAAACAAAATCCAACAAAAATATACATCCTACTCAAAAGCGATTTTCTTTTTTAAAGCCACGAGTCCCAACCCCCACCAAAATAAAGTCATCTATTCCTCCATTTAGAAACAGAAATTTTTAAAACCCACAAACTCCCATTTTATTAACAGAATACAGATAAGACATGAAATTCAGTCTCTTCCCCTTCACATTACAGCCCCAGGGTCTCTGTAGGCCAACTCTGCTCTATGCTTCCAATAGGAAGCCTCACTCTGTGACCTTTTTGTGGGGAAACTTGGAAGAAGGTGAGGAGAGGGCACAATTTGCATATATAATAATCATCTTCAAGACACAATCTGCATCTCTAACAAAAAAGCAGTACAACTTTCATTTCTCCATATTTGTGCTATAAATTAAGCCAAGATTGAGAAACATGGTTGGGTCCCCTAATCCCAAAGGATAAGGAGAAAAAGAAAATTATAACCAGAATGTGGAAGTGGGATACACTGGGTGGATGGAGGATGGGAAGAAGCAAAAAAAAGGGGGGGGGGGCATACAAACCCAATGGGCATCTTTCCAGTCTAGGCACAAAAATGTTTCAGTCTTAAAATATCTCTCTTGTAGAATTCCAGGGCTTCAGAGAAAAAAGTAAACTAAAACGAGGTAGCCAGACACATATATATATATATATATCTATATATAATATATATA